TATTAAAATGAATGTGGTCTAAAGTCTATTCAGATTTCATTTACGCCGCGTCAAAACAATTTCTCCCATCCAGCAACAGCTCACGTGACATTTTTTTGCGCTTCTATTGGTTAATCGGTCGTTAGTCATTTAGACGACGCGCAAATATTTTTTGTCAGAGTCGAATTCAGTTCAATTTGGATAATTCTGTGGTCGGCGCTTAAAAGGTAATAAGTCGATAGCACACATTTTTGGAGAATGGCGCTGGAAAATTTTGGGACACATCAATAAGGATTTTTAGAATCCAAATCGACGATCTTTTTAGGAGATTTGGTTCTGTAAAAATTAAAAAATAGGTAAACATGCTTTGTTTTAACTGTTTTATGATACAATATTTGACTGTTTATGTTTAATTATGACGTTTTGTCTTCCGCGGTTACCCTTGTATATGTTTTTTTGTACCTTATTTTTATAACTTTACAACGTATATAGACTTGAATCCTTTTAGCTACCTAAAATATACACTCTTCTAAACGTATCTTGACTAAAAACTCAATTTACGTAAAAAACGACTTATGACCTTTTAAGCGCCGGCCACAAAATTATAAACGGCGTTTTGGTAGCATTCACCGTGTTGGTTAGTTTGGACATTTTGTACAGTTCATCAAATTTCTAGAGGCTTTCGACGGCTAGACAGAGAAAGCACTACTGACAGGCATCCCGACGGATTTACGCAATGAAAGTACACTCTGCGCATCAAGTATTTCACTATTTCATTCAGACGTAAATGTCAGATGTAAATTTCGCTAAAACATTTCTTTTATTTTCGTTTGTGTTTTTTGCTCATTACAGTTTAATAGAACCTAAGTATGGAGTTTAATAGCAAATTAAGAGGCCGCGTGATTAACAGTCAATCTCGCGAAATAATAGCCAATGTTATAGAGTTTATGAGAAGAGAAGGAAACTTTAATTCACCTTCAATACCATTTAAAAATGTAAATGATCGTGTTGCTGCAGCCACAGGAGTATCTAAAAACACTGTCGTCCGCATTTCTGGAGAGAAAAAAAGAATCGATAACCGTGAGATATCGAAATTTTCATCACCAAGAAAAACCATTAAAAAACCAAAAACAGTTAATGATATAGATGAAGCTGCACAAGAATCAAATTTTATTTTTTTTATTATTAGATAGCTATTTTTGTTTCTGAGTTGTGTTCATTTACAGGCTCAATTTTTTTCCGTTTCTCCTTTTTGATTTTATATGGGGTTTCAAGTTGTTTTTGACTTATTTCGACGTAAATCACAACAACACACTGTTTTAATAAAGCAAACAAGTGTTAAGAGGTATATGTACGTGTAAACTACAATTACAAAAAATTGATATGAAATCCATGAAACCACCAACAAAAATGTAAAGCTAGCTTCCGTACTAGAACATGGTGTCATTCGTCGAGATAATTTATCGTTTTGTTTAATAGATCAAGAAATGTAAATATTCCCCTGTTATTTTTTATAAAATTATAAGAGAAATAAATTTTTTTCTAAATAGTATGGTTTATTATTTTGTAGAAAAACAAAATTTCGAAAATTTTAGTAATGTTTCAGAAACAACCGTTATTAATAATAGGTACCATTTTCCTTAATAAGGTAGAAATAAAATATAAACTATTTTCACGATTTACAAAGGCCTACAAAAAAATTATAGGTATTTTCCGCTATCCTATAAAATTTATATTTTCTGACTCAATTTCAAAAGGTTGAAGGAATTCCAAAACACCTTTTATGGCATAATAATTATTTTCAATTCTACATACTATCTTTAGCTGCTTTTAAAAACGTTCTAAGAAAGTCCAATCAGACCAATTTAATCCCTAAACTATTCCACACTTTTAAAATTTAATTACCTAAAAATATTAAAAACTATTTAAAATAACTTGTTTAGCAGACTATACAATAGCTATCTTAGTCACACGTAGCGCGTTCTCTGTCTGGGCGTCGAACACCTCTAGAAATTTGATGAACTGTACATATATTGTGTTATTTATTTTTTTGTTTTTGTGTTTGTTGTTAGTTTGAACATGTTTTACTCTATTTTATGGACATTTAATTGACTATATTTTGTAATTGCTGCGTGACACTATGTCCTCCACAGATACAGCAGATGAAGTCCAGAAAAATGTTTTTACTCCTTCTAAAAAGCGACTGAAAAAGGGACATTTGGTCATCCGTACTAAAGAATTGGTTCTTAATAATTATAAGCATTAAATTTTATAGAACCCTGATATGTTGGTACATGATGTTGAAAGGAGAGTTGCTGATAAAACAGGGATGTGCGCTAAAACCGTTTTTAATGTTATTCATAAATTCTCTGAAATTTTCTGAACCTAAAAGAAAGCTACGTTATAAACAAATTAGTGGCTCTGTGCATGATTTTAATAAAAATGCAATAAGGCGCAAAGTACATCAATTCTTCTCTAGAAATTAACTTCCAACAATTCATAAGGTTTTATAAAAAGTCAACGATGATCCATATTTGTCTACTTTTAAGCGAGCTACATTTTACAAGCTTTACAAACCCCTTAATTTTAAATTTTAAAAAATAGTTTGCTTTTAGACAAAAATGAAATTGTTTCGTCCTACGCCACAAAAAATAAAACAGTACAGAGAAGAAAAGCAAAAAATATATTATCTTGATGAGACTTGGATTAACGCAGGCCACACCAAATCAAAAGTATGTTTCGATATGTCGGTTTTTTCATCCAGACAAGCCTTTTTGGATGAACTTTTAACTGGTTTTAAAAACCCATCAGGTATGTACGTAAAGCAGCTCATTATATGCCATATTGGAAGTGAAGAAGGCTTTGTCCCTAATGCACTTTATGTATTTGAGTTGAAAAATCCGGTGACTACCATGAAGAAATGTATGGAGAATCGTTCAAAGAGTGGTTTTCAAATACCCTACCAAAATTAGAAGATAACTGCATTATTATTCGAGAAAGCTGGAAAAAATATCTCCGACGTCTAAAAAAGGTGATATTTAAAAATGGCTATAAGGGAAAAAAATTGAATTCGACTACCAAATGCTTATGATCCAACTTCTGAAGCTTGGTAAGCAACATAAACATTATGATAGGTATGTAATAGATGAAATGGCTAAGCAGCAAAACAACATAATACTTCACGTCTCCGTATCATTGTGAACTTAACCCTATTGAATTAATCTAGGTTGACGTTAAACAATACGTATCAGATAAAAACTCAACATTTAAATCTGGAGACATTAAAATTCTTTTTGAAGAAGTAATATTATTAATTTCTCCAGAAAAATGGAAAAAGTGTATCGACCATGTTCGCCAAAAAGTTGAAGTAAAAATGTGGGAGTTGGATAATATTATAGAGGTTCAGGTAGAACCACTTGTAATTTTGATTAATGAAGATAGCCTTTCAAGTCTAACTAATTTATCCGATTCAGAATAGTGCTAGGTCAAGTAAGGAAGATTGCTATAATACAGGGTACAAGTTGTCTAATCTAAATACTAGTAGAACAAGAACAATAAAGAACAAAAGTTATCAAAAATACAAAAGGTTTCTTTTTAAGATGCACAATTTTAAATCAAATACCAAATTCAAATACCAAATACCACTTATATTTAAAGTTTTTTAATTTTATAATATGATTGTTTTAATGCTCTGTATCACACTAGACATATGTAATGAACTAAATATAATGCAATCATCTCTTTTAAAGTCAAATACATTTATTAATTTGTATTGCAAGTTAACGCAGTTTATGTCGTTCACCTATCTTCGTCCAGAAATGTCACTAAAGTCTGGGAGATCGGTATGGCATTTATTTTATAGTTTTACTTTACAAAATATGTTTTTATCGTAATAAAAAAATAATTTCACAATTACACTCTTTTATTTTACATTTTTGCAAGACAGAAAAGTAAAATACGGCCCTGCTCAATTTTAGCGTCCACCTGCTTCTGTTTACATCAGGCATAAATTAAATTTGAATAGACTGTAGTTGATATATTCAAATCAAATGAAATACGAACTTTTGACACAAGGCATAAACGACAAATGACATTTGAGTAGAGGTGATTGTGTTGAAATAACGAATAACGGTTCCAACCGTTACACCTTTCTGACGTGGAGTATACCATGGTTAATTTATGTATAAAGCGTTAAAAGGTATTTTAACAACAAAGTTTTGTCGAATCAATCGCAAACTATGTACTAAATTTATATTTAAAATAAGTACGAGGCATTCCCTTCATCTTTCATCAAGGAACAACTTTTTTGTCACAAAAAACGCTCCAATCGCTATTTTCAACATCAAAATGATAAACAAACCATGGGCGTAGTAAAGAAAAGCATTTACTTATTAAGTGAATGCTTTTACTCAAATTTCTTCTGAAAGTAGTACAAACTAATCTGATATACCTATTAAAGTCTACTTTAAGCGTTAAATCAATAAATCTCCAAAACTACTGAACTGAAGTACATGAATTTTACATCATTATAAAGGGAATTGAAAGACTTTTCAAATTATTACTTCATTCGTCTCCCTTTCCATTTAAGATATTAGGGATGGTGCCAGTCCCGCCTATTTTTTGCGTGATTTTTTGCCAAATTTGTGTCCCCTTCGAAAACAAAATCAAAGGATCTGAATGTGATTTCAAAAAAGAACAGCTGCCAGTAAATGTCTCTGTTCCGTTTTCGATGCGCTACCCTGTATAGGTGGAGCTATAATGTACATTTATTTAACTTGTTAATGGATTTTCCACTACTTCAATTATATTGGGAAAGATTAGTTATAAAAAAAAAACACTAACCCGGGGCAGAGTTGAACGTGTATGTTGTGCTAAACTGGAATTACCAGGAATTTTTTTTTATTTTAGAATTTCCAGCTCTTCACCGGAAATCTCCGAAGTAATACAAGAGTTGTTTGCGTTGGAAATCGTTTTATTTCGCGTGTCCAACATCCAGGAATGGGTAATTGGATTAAATGTAAACAAGTAATTAAAATATAAATCTAGTTTGCTGTCAATAACAAAAACTGTTGTTCGTTTATTATCTCATCTTACCTCGAAGTGATCATTTACGTCAGTAGCTGCGGGCTTAAAAAAATTTGCAGAATAAATGTTAGCGAAAGTAATTTGCAATGTTTATGAGTCAATATATTTATCTAAATTTTGTAGCAAGTAAGTTTTTATTAGTAATTAATGTATTGTACTAGTTTTAATTGTTGTATTGTATTTCAGGCATATTTCTTTATGTTAATGGAGACACTATCTTAAACGAAAAGAAAAATGGGTAAGTCTGCTGTTTTTAATTTTTCTACAGTCTTCAGCTAAACCCGCACCCCACTTAATATGATAAATAAGAAGTTGAATGGAAATTTATATTTTTAGTGACCTTTTTTACAGCTAAATTAGTCTTTTACGAAACTCTCAAATTTCGAGTAATTTTATTTTTGAAACAATATCGAAAAAAACTTTTAATACTTTCAAAATCCGATAATTCTACAAATAAAAAAATGTTTTTTTCTCCCACCGACTTAACAAATGAATCAAATTTTGTTGTGTGAATTGCGAATTATATTATTTAAAAAGATATATTAAAAAACAAACAAAATTTTAATGAAAGGAATTTGTTAATTTTTACTTTTGTTTTGTTAAATACAATTTGAAAAAGTGCGCTTTTATAAACAATAAAGGTGCAATTCTTATAAGATCCCGAAATTGTTGCATATTAGTTATTAGTTAGTAGTGAAAAATAGTATATTGTGCAACAAGTGCAGAATCCTGGCAATGACAGGTTTTTTTCAAATCTACAAGTAGTCTTAATAATTCGTATGGGAATTTGAGATTTGTTTCTGAATTTTTAAGGCCGGCGATCGCCCATGTTAATTCCCCGTATATGCAGAGGTTACTTTTGACGAAGCTTTCGGAAAAAGTATACTTCGTAGCATTAATTTTAATATATAAATGCCTATGGGTTGTAAAGGAATCTAAAGAAGCAGACTTTTTTAAAAATACTCGAAAAATAATGTCTTTGATCATTGGTGTCAAAATCACATAGAAGCCCTCGACTTTTCGACGTATTTACTTTAAAACTAAACATATTTAGACGTTTTCTTTTCGTTACCACCCGTACAACTAGCATATCAAATAAATGAAACAAATTGTACTTCAAAATAATGTTTGGTTTTCCTGAAAGCTTGGTTTGAAATAAAAGCTAATTATTAATTCACCTAATCGGCTAGGTACAACGCAGATGAAAGATGATATACGTCGTATCCAAAGCTTGTAGGATTCTGTACAGTAAGAACTTCAAGATAATTTCACAGATGCCGCTTCAAAACCTTAGTCATTTGCATTACCGTTATACTTGAAGCAGACAGGGCCGGAACAAATACAATTTTAATACCAGCGTTTTTGTATTTAATTAATTAAATAATTCGATATATTACTAACAAATGTGGTTGTTGCCCTTGAAAAGTATTTTTATTTCCTAATGAAATTTAACCCACTGCATTCTTGGTAATTATTGGTTTTAATTTTAAAAATAAATACATACTCTAACTTTATAAAACTGTTTACCAATGTTTAATATTTTTTAAGCTAAATTTATGTAATATGTTTTTTTTTATTTCGTTTTCTCTAAAAAAACAAACATCTTTATAGAGATGTCTATTTGAGATTTTTAAAAATTAGCTTCACGGAATTCATTTTTGACATTTATACATATCTACATATTTTTCTTGCACTCAAATTAAAAATGACCTTTTAAGGTAATATCTTATATACAGAGTGGGCCACTGGTAACGCCTTGGTCTGTAGAGCCACAACCATTTGATTTTTAAAAATTTGTTTTCAGAATGAGATGTATGTCCCAAAAACCAAAAATTTAAAAATAATTTCAATTATACAGGGTTCTTTAAGAAAGTGATACATATCAAAGTTAGGTTTTTTAAATGCGACAGTATTTTATATTTGATTTGCCCTCGCTTTTTCGATTATAACAATTAAATAGTATGAGATTATACAGAGTATACGCTAATACCAATTTTATATGAAAATCGTATTAATCTGAATGGCCTGTATACTGCAAAAGAAACAATTGAAAACCAATCTTTTGTGATAAAAGATTTTCGATATTAGTCTACATTTTATGCCGATACACTATTTTTTAATTCGAAACAAATTTTAACAGGATGGGTCAAAATTCAAATACTTTTTTCATTTTGTTTAATTGAATTTTATATCACCAGCAACTTTTATTTGACGAATTTTTTTCTTCAAGCGTAAATAACATATATTTATTAAAGTAGAAAAACGACTCTCTATAAAGTACCCCCAGATGTTCCGAATATGCCTAAAATCTAATCAACTCATTAGAGATGGATTAAAGCTTAAATGTATTGTTTTTATCTTCATACATTTTTGAGGTATCGAGGATACAGACACACAAACACCTACATATACGCATGTGTAAATTATGCCTCAGCACAGCGTTGCCAACCTATATATCTTTATACCTAAAAAATCTTAGAATAACGGTAGAAATCATGAGAAATTGGTAGATTTAAATTAAAATAGAAGCAGAAATATATTGTCTCAAGAAAAATATATTATTAAAAAACAGTTAAAAAAAAAAACAGGTAGAACAATAAAATAAGAAATAAAGACAATTCAAAATAAGTTAGATAACTAATCTAAGTAAAACATTTTATTAATAAATACAAATATGAAAATAAGAATTTCAAATTGTTTTATTTTTTAATTTAAAAGTCTTTCTGAGGTAAAATTAATTTTCAATAAAGATCATTTTTTTTATACAAATTCCACATATTTTTTTCCTGTAGTTTTGTATTTTTTGTATCAAATAAGTTTTCATACGAAAGGCAAAATAACACTAAAGTAAGTTTTCCACTATTGAGATAAAGGATGTTATTCATTTGTTTTTTTTTATTGCTGGTTGGCTGAAATATAGCTAGGTGCAATGCAAACTAACAAAAAAATATTGTTTTTTAGCAATAGTACACATTTTAACTTCCAATAAATTTATTTTTGAAATGACTGGATATTATTTTTTTATTCTGTAGAACAATAATTTGGCTCAGTCAAAAATTATCTTTGATCTAAAAACACTATTTTTTTTTATTACATTTTTTTTATTAAATTCATATTTAGTATATAAATGTCGAGAAAATAATCAAATTTCTTAAATTTGGTTGAATTTATGCAAACAAATATACATTTTTTTAAAGTTTTATCTAACAGCTTGAAAAACGAGTATATGTGAGGCGCCATTTTTATATAATCTTAAAATTAATAAGAAAATTTTGATTTTTCGCATCAAAAATATAACCCTAATCAAAATATGATAAAAAAATTTAATAGTAGACGAATATTTGACATAGTATTATTTGGCGAAACATTAGTATCTTAATATCCTGAACCTATATTTAAAATAAAGGCTATACCTTTAATTTATTTGCACAATTGGGATGCAAATCCAAAAAAGTATTCACTATTACGTTATCAATAATAAATTATATTGTAAGCTGATAATATAAGAAAGTTAGTAAAATAGTGAAGGAAAACATGAAATTGCAAAACCTCTAGAAAACAAAAATAATTTTTTTCTATACCCACAACGATATTAGATTATCTACGCATAGAGTACAAAACGAAAAAGAATGGTATTGCGTTCAACTGAACGAATATATTTCACATCCATTCTAGGTAGTAAGAACACTATAAAAATAATAAAATACACCAATCACAGTTCCTATTTTGATCACACAACTACTATTATTTTTAAAATTTTAAATAAGTAACATTTCTGTCAAACTAATTGTCAGTAAAAAAATTTTTAGTTATGAGATTAAATATACATTAAAATGAGTTATTCTTGTGTAGACTCGATAAATAATAATAGCATTTCTATTTTGTTTCGTCTATAATTATAAATATTTCGTTAATTTTAATAAAACTATATAAAGTCAATAGAAAAAAAAATTAAGCACCTCGGTGGTGGTGAGTTCAGAGCATTTGTCTTTTTTCTTGTTTATTTTATTTTATAAACTATTAATTTATTTATTTTATCCGAATAACCTAACATAATTTTTAACATTATTTGTAGATTTTCGTTAGTGGACGCTCAGACGATTGAGGAACACTCCGCTAATGGCGTCATGCTCAAATTTCGTCTTCGTTCGATAAGGCCATCATAATATCCACTCTTGTTGCACAAACTACTATTACTCATTTCTTGTATATAAGGATAAATTAAAAAAAATTTAAATCTTTACAATACTTGTTAAATTCAGAACATATACAGAGAGAATAGTTTTATTGGCTGAATTGAAAAATGAACTATGCCAATTAAAAACTAAGTTATTTAATAACGAACAATAAAATATTTAATGCCCGGAATTAAATCATATTAGGAATTTCCAATATTATCTATTGTTCTGTAATATTTCAATAATAGGTAAACAGGTATCAGACTAAAGCTCAAATAAGGGATTAAAAAGGGATAGACACGAATTCGTTGAAGCCGACTAAAATAGTATATGCGGGTTAATCCAACACAAATTCAATGTTTTATATGACAAATTGTATACCACCCGATATGGTAAACAGATATATCAATTAAGTAAGGAAGGTGTGTGAGAGGTATATTTTATGGTATTTGTTGTGGCACTGCTTAGAGTTTTTGAATTTTATGTATGTAGGTAAAACTATTTGAGTCCATTGACTGTTTTTTGCATGGAATTTTAATAGTTTTTTGTACCTATTAAATATTTTATCTGTTTTCCCGTTTTATTTAAGCATGGTATCATTGATTCCACAAAAGTTAGCTGTTACATCTTACAAAACATAAACTTAGTAAAATTGTCAAAATAAAAATTGACCTCTCATTTTCATATGTAATATGCATATAACATACACAATTTGATTTATATAAGTTGGTGCATTTCAAAGTTTGTGTTCTTTACGCGCTTGTTTAGAATTTTTGATTTTTGCTAAGAAAGTTAAACTGCTTTATTTATATTTTAGCATACTTTAATTTAAACTTTTTATGACATGATAGGTAATTTACAAACTAAACTTTTCAAATTTCTTCCTAAAACGATACTAATGCCGGGCCTGCTTATGCAAATTTCTTAACGGTCAGAGGCCTGAAAGCAGAAGTAGAAAACAATTCGTCGATAGTTAGACATTTTTAAGTTCCTCTAGTCACTGTCGGGGACGGCCACGTCCCGGGACACCTACTTTGTGGAAAGTTATACCCATCTTTTTCTTGCGCGAAATGCAAATCCTTGTGTGTCAGACGCAAACCTTAAACTATTTAAACTACTTTCTATTTTTTATAATGGCGGGCACAGCGTCCCTTTTCATCACGGGAAACGCACGTGTCATTGTTGACTGGTGAATACGCAGTGACGCTGATGAAGCGGCTAAGCGAGCTTGAGGCTAACGTGATTTTTAACCAATGAGGAGTCGTTGACGCTTATGACGTACTCATATGTTAGAGAATTTCCTTATCGGTAGAGATAGTGTAGGCTACAGGGACGACTGTAAGGGTTGTTTAGAAATTAAGAATGCTGAATGTATATTGGATGTAAGGTTGAATGTAATGCTGAGTGTACTGTTAAATATAATTCAACAACGGTAAAAATTTAAAATGCTCACATTCTATTTTTTAGAGAGTGCATCCTGCCGAATCACCCTGCAAATGGAAAATGGATAATTATTGGAGGATCGGATGCACAGCCAGGATCTTCAGTGTCCTCTCTTACCGCCATAACTTATTTTTGTGAAGAGCCGTACAAACTATCCAGCGACTACAGCTTGATAACTTGTCTTGGAAACCATTGGAATCTTCTTCAACCTGAATGCTTAAGTGAGTATATTTACAAACTAACTTATAAACAGATCTATTGAAGGCATTCGATACGGTTCACCATGGTTCGCTATTAAAATCGCTAAAAAACTTGGACTTTGGATGAGAGTTTAATAGTATATTACATAATAGGAGTAGTAAGAAACTTGTCAAAACTCGACTAGTTAGATATCTAGACCAAAATAATATACTGGACATAAATCAATTCGGTTTTCAACATAATTAAAACGTATTGGATGCTGTTTCTTTTCGTTTGGAATTAGCCTGTACAAATATAAATTTCAACGAGGCCCTAGCTGCAGTATTTTGTGATCTGACTAAAGCTTTGGCTGTGACAACCACGGAGTACTGCTGTGAAAGTTTGAAATTGTTCTGTGCAGCGGGGATTCAACGGACGCTGATTCCAAGACAATAAAAATATGTGCAATTTATTACAACATACTGAATAAGTTTTTGAAATTTCTAAATTGAATGTTAATTCAGTAAAAAAATAATACCAACACCAATCAACCATAGACCACTATATACCTACTTTATTTTACCAACAAAAAGAGAAAAAGACGCAAGCCAAACAAATTATCACCAAAACATAAGATTATTCTCGAATTTTTAAGCTGACATTGAAAACCCGGAATAATCCCAATATTGACAGTCCGTTATAACTAATGTTCTAATGTCATTAGTCAATAATCTCGCAATATTTGTATTTAAAGTCGCGCCAGTTTTTTTATATATGACCTTCAGTTGTAAATAAAAGAAGTATATAAGTGTTGTTCAGGAAATACTTAAAAGTATGAGTCAGACCTTTGAAAATCATCTCTGGGCTTCCATAAATATTAAGGTCACAAAAATAGAACTTAAAATGTATAAAGTAGGTAGGTATTATGTGAAGTTTGTGATTGCTATTACTATTTCTTTTTTTTGAACATAAAAATCGCATTAGATATTGTCAGAAACTTAATCAGTCCATAAAAAAATTACAAGAGGTTAAATTATATTTATTAATTAACAAACATAGTATATTTTCTATTAATCAGTAGCTAGTTAAAATCAAATTATTTTCTGAATGATCTTTTTTGCAATTTAAATCTAAAAATCTGCCCAAACTATTAACTTTCTTTATAGGGAATGCTGAGCTCAAATGACAGAATAATTAGAGCATGTGTGTAAGGATTTTTTGACCAGAGACTTGGTCCATAAGGGTACTTACTTTTGAATAACTTAAAACATTTAGAAAATTACGTATTTGATTTTTGTCTCGCCCTGTACAGATTTGTTACGAATTGAAAAAAGTAATGTATCGGCATTAAATTAGACTAACATCGGAAAACTTTTACTGCAAAAAATTTGTTTTCAACTGTTCCATTTACAGTATACACGTGACGGAAATCAATTCGATTTTTATATAAAACTGGTTATATTATTATAATGGGTTCATCTATTTTAAAAAAAAACATAAGTTTGTTCCAGACTGAATTTATTGAGCACTCTGTATATTCGAAAATAATTTTAAAATATGGAGTTTAAAAGTGCCTACTGCAATTTATCTCTAATAACGCCGGAGATATAGGACTTTTTCAGAATAATGGATCACCCCCGTACGTATATATTTGTTACGGTCAAAGATGATATTTTGGTCTTTAACGATATTGGCCGATCATTTTTGTAAATCTCCTATTTGAGTGGGCATTCTGCTGACGTTAGTGTCCGGGTCAATATCGTCAGTGCCCAATTTATAACACTGCCCGTAACATACAGTGTGTCCGTAAAGTATGGAACAAATTCATTTTTAGCTAACAGACCATTTTAAGAAATAATCCTGAAACACGTCGATTTTTGATTTTATTTTACCGTATTTTAAAATAATAATCTAATATACAGGGTTAATTACTTTCGAGTAATGACGTCACCGTCATTTTTTTTAAATGGAACACCCCCATTTTGTCTCAATTTTCGGATTATTCTAGCTGAGTTGATTCCAAAAATGTATCACATGTTGATTCCAATTGGTACAGGGTGGGAAAAAATACAATAGTTTTGTGTGTGCTCATAAACGCGTAACATTCTTTATTAGTTAAATTAACAGTATTATCAAAAATACTTATTGTCTAGCGGATAGAATATGATGAAATACATGACTTTATAAATGTTCAAACTGCAGCCCTTGCTGTATTTGACAGTAACCCAAACGATGTACAAATTCTTGTTGAACCTTGTTTATTGTGTCTTGAGAAATATTGTTTATTGTTGTCCGAATTCTCTCTTTTAATTCGTGAATATTAGCTGGTTTCGTTTGATACACAACATTCTTCAGATGGCCAAATAATTCAAAGGATTGATATCTGGTGACCTCACTGGCCATTCGATAGGTCCACGTCTACCAATCCACCTGTTCGGAAAAATTTCATCTAGGTACCTTCTGTAGATGTTAGCCTAATGTGGAGGTGCACCATCCTGTTGAAACCATACACTTTCATCGCAACCTCCAGGATTACGTCTGCTGGAAAACAAATTACGTAAAGTAGGTACGAGATACCCCCTTAAAAACTCAAGGTACGTTGCCCCGTTTAAATTACCTGCGATAAAGTAGGGTCCGATGATTCGATTTCTTACAATTCCAGCCCATACATTTACCTTTTGCGGGTATTGTGTATGATCACAGCTTATTTATATCCAGCTAAAACACTCTCGGCGGCACTTTTGATCTCGTGGTCTGCGATCAAGCGAGGTAGAAGCGTTGCTTTCTCTGTTGCACAAGAGGGAAAAGTCAGAGCCGGATTATAACAATTATTTATTGAAGTAAAATGTTTAATTTCTGCCTGACAGTACCGAAGTAGGTAATTTTAAATTTTATTGGATTATATTTTTTGAATCTATATTGTAATATTACGATAAAATTAGGTTTGGAGTTAATAAGGGTTGTTGAAAAATACATTAAAATTATTCTGAAAAATAATACATTTTCGTTATTATAGATTAAAAGAACTTGTGTGGGCAGAAAAAGGGCGATTTATAAAATTGTCAGAATAATTACGATAATGGGGTGTTTGTTATCTTACGAAAAAAATAGTGATTTATAATAGTCGTTGATGTTGGTTGTTCAAGATTATGATTTATTTTTAGGTTTTCCTCCTGAACGCTATGTCATTGTTAACGTCCTTTCTCAGCTTTGCGAAATTCGGCTTTTTGCATCCGAATTTTAATATTCGACAAACTTGCAATTTGGCATTTACGGCTTAACATTTTCAAATTGTGAGTATGTCAAATAATTAAATTCGGATGCAAAAATCTTATTTGGCCTAACTGAAAAAGAACCTTAAAAATTATTGCTTTTGACAGTCGCACGGTGATGTTTAGGGAAAAGACAAAAATGGTAATAAAATAAAGTTGTGTAGCTTAGGTTTTAAATAGGTTTTATTACTAAATAATTAAAAAAAATCAAATTAAAAATTTACTTATACCGTTATACCTACGTATATATAACGTATATTATATATATAATAACAAATTATAATACATTTTGTACTATATCATTACAAATTTCTCCATATTATAAGTTTATTTCTATTTACATTTCTAAAATTACCATTTATCGTTTTCAATGTATATTCTAATTCTTAAATATAATCTAACTACAAATTCTTTGGGGAAATATTTACAGGGATGGTTAAAAGCTAAATGGTTACTTATATCTAAAAGCATTTGGCAAATATTCCTTTTAGTAGCAAATTTTTCAAAGTTTTCTTGAAATATTTGTTCTATTTTACAAATTAATTCCACAAATTTATTATTAGGCATTTGCAAATTTCCGAAGGTGTCCTTATTTGCATTTTCATATGCCTTAAGGAAACAGTAATAAGATGAATCATATAGTTCATCATGGTCTTTACTATATTTATTGCATATATCACAAGTGTGAGCTCTTAAAGCTTTATTTAAAAGGTACCCACACACGTACCGTATGAAATTTTTTTGCAGCATTTCATTATTTGAATAGTCCATGCTATTTAGTGCGTCTCTTTGTTCCGATACTTTATCCTTATCCTCAGGTACAAAATCCTGTTGGCAGTCAGAAAGTCTTAAGAGCATCTGATCAGAATCAGTCTCACAGTTTTCTGTACCTGAGTTAAGCAAGTTGACGCATTGCAACTTTCTAAATGTTCTATGGAACTGTATGGCTGTGGGGTTAATGCAGTTACCGTTTTCACTTCTTATTTTACCGAAATGATTCTCCAGGCAGTCTTGGTTTAATCTTCGTGTAAGTATATACTCAAACCCAGCATTTTCTCGAAGATAGTAAAATAATTGAATAATACTGTTGATTGAAATTATTAAGCTTTTAATAAATTTTATTTTGTTGGCAACGTTTATATTATTTTTGTCTCGAATTTCAAGACTTTTAAAAAAGGACAAGCAATCCATTAAAATTAAAAATTCTAATTGAAATGAGTTTGCTTTAAAGGCAGCATTATATTTTTTTGAGGCAAAGGTTTGCGAAGAATTTAAAATATCAAAGAGTTGATCTACTCTATTAACAAATTCAGCAGTTTCTGTCGCTTCCGAGGGAAGGGAACCAAATCCTATATAAAAACTCATACCTACATGGACTGAGTAACTAAATACTTGGGTGGCAAGTTTGACCTTCATTTTTTGGAAACTAGTCGGGTAAATATGAGAATCGGTTAATTTGTGTGCTGCTTTAACAGGAATTTTTTTATCTAATTCATAGAAGTCTTTAATATATTGCCACGAAATTTTTTTACAATTAACATAAAAGTCATATTTCATTAACATATTTCTCATCGCTTTAATAATATGTGGCACATCAAAGATGAAAAAGAGATACCGGTTTTCTAAATAAAAACCAGTATTGTCTGGAGATATCTTTAAAATATTTGACAATTTGATATTGTTGGACCCCATATCACAAGTAACTGCACAAACATTTAACCCCACATTTGTTGTTTTTTGCACAGCTTCATTTAATAGTTTATGTAATA